ATTATGCAGTCAGTATTGGGAGCACTATAACTTCCTCATATTTTGTTATTTGAACCATTCATATATCAAATAGCCTCAGTCAGTAACTGTAACTTTATACCTTGACTTTAGTTTTTGTAATTTAAAACGGTTTTGAAAAAAAAATTGGTCAAATAAATAACTCAACATTCACACCAAATTTGAAATGCTACACTGTACCTTTTAAGTTATGGATATAATTTTGATTTAAAAATATTAAATAGATTTATATAAGTGGTTGATATTTATAATTAATTAGTAATCTTAAACTTTCACTGCTGAAAATTAAATATTAGCGTTCATTTTGGGGAGCTTGAAAAATCAAGAAATGTGCTGGCAGGAAGAAGTCTCACTCTTGTCAATAATTCAATAAAAAACAATAAAGAAAAAAAAGTTAAACACACAGCACCAAATCTGTGCTTCTTATCGTCAGAAAAACAAATAAACATTTGTTTCTGCTCATAATACTTTCTAATTTAATTATACATTTTGACAAAAACCTGAAAATTGGCCAATTATTTCTATCACTGGACATATTGAAGCCCTCTTCACATTCAGAACCATCAATTATGTATGTCTTTATAAATCTGATTTCCTGTGAGGCAAAACAACAAACGACAGACCTGCAAAGCTGTGCAGCGTTGTTCCACCGATGTGACACGCAGCCACTCCTGTGCTCGCTGTGGCAAAAGTGCTTTTAGGTGGTAGAGATCCCAGAATCCTCTTGAGCAGGAAGGACTTTCCTGTTCCTGGAAACAAAAACATACAAATGTTCAAATCTGTTGACTTGAAAAAAGGGCCATTTCCCTTGAAAAGTTGAATAAATACAGCATTAGAGGATTAGCACTWCAGTGGGTATCTAGTTATCYGACTAACAGGAAACAGTTTCTWCAGGTAAATAAGATCTGAATTACGTAAAATAAGCTGTGGWGTTCCTCAGGRTTCTATACTTGGACCACAGCTGTTTATTTTGAATGTGAATGATCTGGTCAATGTGTTGAGGTTTTTAAAATGTATTTTGTTTGCTGATGAATTTCTTTATTTTGGTTAAAACATTGAACAGATGTTGATGACCATACAAACAGAATTTATGAAAATATAAACGTGGTTTCATCTGAATAAGTTATCAGTAAATTTGGACAGAACAAATTACATATTTAGAAATAGAAATGAAAATATTCAAGCCCCATTCAGAATGAATGAAATTCATAGTCAGTGAAATGAATTTTTTGGGTGTCACCACATGAGAAGCTCACATGGAGATCTCATATTAATTACTTAAGTGTAAAAATAGCAAAAACTATTGCAATACTGTATAAAGTAAAATAGTTCCTAAATGATAAAGCATTGTATGCATTATATCATTCAATGGTTGTACCACATTTAGTATATTGTCTGGAAGTTTGGGGAAAAACATGCAAAAACTCTTTCAAATAATATTTTTATTTTACAGAAAGATTTGTCTGCAGAAAACATTATGGTCATCCAACAAACATTATTTCATCAGTTGAAATTATTGACATTTCATGATCTTGGTTAAGTAATTTGCAAGTTATGTATAAGACAGGCAAAAACTCTTTCAAATAATATTTTTATTTTACAGAAAGATTTGTTTGCAGAAAACATTATGGTCATCCAACAAATATTTCTTCAGTTGAAATTATTGAAATTTCATGATCTTGGTTAAGTAATTTGCAAGTTATGTATAAGACTCATAAAACATGGTTATCATTAAATATCCAGACAAAATGTATTAAAAGAGAGTCAGTATAACCTTAAGGGACAGGAGATTCTTGTTAAACCTCCATTTAGAACGAGTCTGAAGGGGCATTATCACTCAGGGAACAGCTTTATGGAACTGTTTCAGTTTCAATTCTTTATTAATTTCATTAAAACAAAACAAACAATTTTATATACAACATACAATAAAAAGAAAAATATAAAAAGAAAAACGAGAATATATA